ACGCAGAGGTTAAAAATTAAATGAACTTTTTTATCCAGTTACATTTTCAAGTTTTAATTTGAACTCTTAAGGAGAGTTCTCCATTTTCTTTCCCTGCCTAAGAAAGGAAAAGTAAAATATTTTAAACTTACAATCTCCTTCCCAAATTTTTCAAATAAATGTACTTAATTTTTTTCCTAGAAACGTTAAAAAAAAGGAAAATTTGTTCTGCTCAAAAAGATATTTTGGTCCAAGAGTATTCAAAAAACCCTGCTTTTAAAGAAGTTGTTCAGTGACTGAATGACACTGAATGAAAACATAACTCCAGTACTGAACTGTGTGTTACAGGTCCTGTCTTGATAACAACAGATTATTGCTCATTCAAATGAAAAGAATCAGTGCTTTTGGAGAAGGATTTGGGTACCAACTTCTGAGTATCTGTGATTTGCACAGCTTCTGTTGTAACAACACATGCTGGTATAGTTAGAAAAACTGGTGAGGGAGGGAAAAATAAGTAATGCTATATGTATTTTTTCTTTTTTTCTTTACTTCAAAAATTTCCTTAACATTTAAAATACTGTTGAAATTTCATACAGTTCTGTTGAACTGTTTATGTGAAAATTATCTTGACATTTTTAAGGATTTATTTCTATTTTGAAATGTCAAGACTTTGAAATGAAAACAGAGAGATTTCTTGTAGTGGTGTTGTATGGGGACTGTTCTTCATATGGGTTACTGACCCCTCCTGGCTGGAATTTGAAGATCCCCAATAGCAACAACTAGATCCCTGTCTAAGTATGTGCAAAGCTTGCACATTTAAAAAAAAAAATCAGCCTTTCTGGGTAAAGAGAAATGCCCCAAACACCAACAAGAGGGAGGCCAATATTTCCTGTTCAAGTCCCTTGTATAGCTTATCCTGTGACCATAAAGCCTCCACGCACACAACTCCATCTCCGTAGATTGTCCTGTCAGTTCCTTCACTCATCATAGTCTGACATTGCATGCAAGACCTCTCGCAAAATACATTGCCCAATCGATGGTCAATGATGCCGCACTGCCACTTTTTAAGCAGAGATCCCCATTGTATTCTGATGACATAATGAAGCCCTACCCACACTAAATTACAGGGTTAAACAACAGCTTCGGATGAGGGGGAGGTAGAAGCTTTCCCAACTCACTGCAAGCATGTTCTGGTTGGTTTGATGGTTGATTTCCTGTAGTTATTGAAATCTGCTTGCATATGCTGCAATTAGCTTGTTGTAAACCTTCTTTTTCCCCATCCTGTTTGCAGATTTTTTAATGGATTGTCTCCTACCCATCTGTTTTCCTTCATTCATGTACAAGATTCCTGTTCCACTGCTCTGGCTGCTGCAGCAGTAAATTAGTGTCCAGGCACTTAACCATCAGTTGCAATGAGCTTTTTAAAATATTATTATTTTTTAATTTCGTGCTGTTTATCATCACAGGTTAGATCATTACAGGTTAAAAGCTTATTCACGCTGGAGTCGAGATCCCCACCCTACACTGAGCTACTTACAGACTAAGGTACTACACAATGCAAGCACAAAATATGTTGCTAAGCAGTGACCATAGATTCATTTGTTAATCACAGTAGTTTCTGGTCATCTCTATGAGTATTTCTTATATTACGGAGCCCACCTCTATGTACCCTTCTTGCTAGTCCTTACCATATACTGCAATGACTCCACTGAGAACAAAGCTGGAACACAGAAAAAAAAGTGTCAAATTACCCAAGAGTGCACATCAACCTATTTCCAAGAGTGCATTATCAACCTCTCTTTTCAGCAAATCCTTTCTTCAATGTAGCAAGGAAGAATGTGATGTGAGGAAAGGTTAAGCATTACTGGAAAGTGAATTCCTGTAGCTTCACAGACCTATCTCCTGTTCAACTTCAGTCTTTATGTAATGAAGTGCCACCAGCATGGGATCAAGCACGTGCAATTATTTTTTATGCCTACCTAGGCATTGAGAATCTGTAAGCAGGTCATCTGTTTCTGTCCAGCCCATTGTCATTCCAAGATTGTCAACACAGAATGATTTCTTAGTGATGGGATCTTGCTGGGAAGGTCTATACTGGCCCTCTTCATCACACTGTAAACTCTGCCCTTTCCGCTGACAGTCTGTGATGCCTGTCCCAAGTCAACAGAAAGAAAAGAGTTGGATTACTATATCACTTGCTTCCAGTGCATGTGCTTGACAAAGACCTTCTAGAATGAAATAAAGCCTTTTCTGCCTGGAAGGGGGGCTCTCACATGCATTTAACAAATGGCATTTCTTAACTGAAGCCCTGAGATTTTAAATTATTATGACATATTATTGTTA